ACTGGACTTATACCGTGTTCATACATGTGTCAAAAAAACCGGTATGGAGACAAGCTTTATAGTTAATGTTGTATTGAGACAAATATGAACAAGGTAACTGGTGCCACGTCCTAAAAGTCTCAACCAGCACCCTGTACTTACAGAAATAGTTTTAGTATGTGTGAAAAATAATGCTGCCTCAATGTCAGCCACGCTCTGGACTTCCATTCATTGCAAATATTTCAAAGAAACATGACGATTGATAACAACATCAGCTCAGAATTTGCGGTCTTTATACACATATGAACACAGGACCAATTAAAATCAACAATTGTTTATCAAGTTAGTCAAGCCAGCTCTGTGGCACACATGTGAACATGGTATTAATCTGTTTGGCAGTAACTGTTTCAAAAGTGTTTCTCACCCAGTCACAATCACAATTATTGAGATGCGTAGGACCAGCTTACCAGTCAAGTGCAAAACATGGAAGGGGTTATTTATATGGAGTCTGAAGTCTTTGCTGAATTATGTATCTGTAGAATTATGTTATGTAGTGCTATCTATTTAGTAATTGATTTCTCTTTTATGCAAAATAATATTTTTATTTTTGCAATTCAAAGTATAATGTATGTCTGTGTAATTATTGTGTTGTACGGCTAGATGTGTAAAATTCCATTTTATTACAAGAGAAATAGTTAAGAAGCTAAGTATCAAAATGTAGAAAATAAATTATTTAAAAATCTTCTAATGGAGTGCCTTGATGTGTGTATGACACACCCCTTCTCTACTGAGTTGCTAGGCAATGCACAGTTTGATCGTTGAAGACAACAAATGTTTGGTTTGTGTTCTATTGAGAACAGATGTTTACACTTTGGTGATTGCTACCCACAATGCACTCTGGTTTTTGTTACCCATGATGCATTTTGGCCGATGCTACCCACAATGCACTCTGATGGTTGTTACCCACATTCATATATTTTATGTTGTGTTGTACAACTCTTAGTTTAAAAATCAAAAATACTCGTTAACAAATTTAAATTGCTGTTCACAGAAAACCATTTAAGGGAACATAGTATTTCTGTATTGAAAACACATTAATTCAACAGAAATATAATTTAATATTATACCTATCAACTTCAACAACACATGTCTAAAAAACAAGTTGACACAATGCCTTTTTTCCTAATGAGAATTTAATATGTCTGCGTAACCTGTACAAAGATGAAAACATCTTAAACAAAAACACAGAAGTATGCACCACCGGAGGGCGCTGTACTGAAGTCATTGTAGTGATTATGTTTGTTTGGGGGCTTCTGGGGCAGGGCATTAAAATATATCGAGAATGATGTTCACAAACATAGATAGTATTCATTGATAGCTTTTTTTTATACCTTTGAACCTCCATTGGAGATCAATTCGATATTCATCTTTTTTTATTGTTGGGTTGACTTTTTCGACTAGCGCCCTCTATAGATATTTTGTGAAAAGTGTAACATGATATAATAAAAGTATTGTTTATTCAATTAAGGTCTAATATTATTATCTGAGGTATGTTTTGTAAACTGTTTCATGTTATAGTTATATGTTTTAGAATTTGTTCGCATTCTTACTAAAAAAATATGTCTGTAAGTTGCGTTTGTAATTAAAAAGATAAGGATATAATAATCTTGCATTCAAACTAGTGTTTCTTACAATTTTGTTCACAATACTGAGTCGCATTCAGACAATACTAAATACAGACTATTCTAATATGTTCGCATATCTACTGGACCTACTTGCGTTCACACATGGGAAGAAACAACAGATAGAACGGACTAAACAACACCCAGCTGTTATGTTAAGTGGCGGTCGATTCGTCCCAAGTCGACTTGTGCGACGAATCGACTTGTGGGACGAATGTGAATTGGGACGAATTGACTGTGAATCATGTTGAGAATATACACATTTTCAGTTTATTTTACTATGTACAATACCCAATGCAAATTCAGAATAACGAGAAGTAGTACATCTTGACAAATACCGAGGTAGTTATGAATCTAATCGTCCAAACTGACATTGAACACAACCATTCGCATGCACTTCATTAGCCGGCCCAAGCCGGCTAAGAGATTAGACCGGGAGCGGGCAGATTTATCTCGTACTTACTATTTCCTAGCCCGCACAAAGTGTTCTTGCACTTTTCTTAGCACAGACTAACGTTCTGATAAACATTTAAATCGCAGATAAGAAATCTTTCGTTGACCACATATTTTCTTTTTTGTGCCGCTTTAATCATCAATGATAATAAATAAACATTATTGGTCCCCGTGGATGTTGTAACATGGGTCTGTTTTCCTGCATGCTGGAAACATGCCGCATATTTCAAGTTCAACAGCGTATGCAATAACCTAAGCTGCTTTAAAATTTGCCACTCAATGCAAGTACCTACTTAGAAATGAGATCAACGTAAATAAAAAGTTTGTTAACTGTGGCACTCAAATTCCGTTTAGGACGCCAATGCGAATGATCGCCGAGATTTAAACATATGTTAAGCCCCTTTACACTGGCGTAACATTAACACTTATTTTTGGTCTGTGTAAGTACCACGTAATATTTATAACTATTATGACTATTATGGTACTCGCCTGGATTTTGGGTGGGGAACTACTAGTATCCCCAAAAGATTGGCGTTGAGGCAGCTTTAGATAAAAGAAAAACAATGCGTTTTTGACAAAAGTAACCTAAAGTTAGCTGAAATGGTCGAAGAAGTTGTATGGAAAGTACATAAATAACTTGCGTTCAAGTTGGAAGGTTGGAAGTTGAATTGCAAAGTTCTTAACTTAGCCTGAAAAGATGGCAATATTGTCTTAGAAATCGTAAAAATAGTTTTCGGGAAACTTACCAACAAAGTCAAAAATGTGTACTTTAAAGCAAGGAATGTGTTTGTGTAGTCTGAAAATAGCCGTAGTCTTAAATGTGAATGTAAACATTGCATTGAATGCAGGAGATACAGGTGGAACAGATAGATACAGATAGAGTCGATATAACAGTACGGTGCGTGTACAAAATAAAGTGAATGCAGGCAACGTACATGGCGCAGTGCATCCTATACTGTTATTGTAGTGGATACCGTTGGAAAAAAGGTAATATCTAAAATAGCGCATAAATGGTAATGAGTACCCATCTTTTTCATTTGAAAACACACAACAAAAGCAATCCGTTTCCCAGTTTGCTGAAGTTTTGATCACAATATGAAGTCAACGGCCATTGCTTATTTATTTTGATACATTCTCACATTTAGAGCTAGTTTCCCTGTATATAAGTTGTAAAATGCGATTCGCATATAGATAGAAATAGCGTGTGCGTGGTTAACAACATGTTACCATAGTAATTCCTGCCAGGAAGTGGAAATGATCAATGCATGTAAGCAATTGCAGTCCCATGAGTGTTATCGTAAATACAACGCCCCTAGAAAAAAATATATATGGTCAGTTTTTTGTTTGGTTATAAAATTTATACATTCGGGAGATCTCTGCGTTATAAAACTGTAATATTTATTTAAACGAGTTTCGCGTTAATACTACAATAAACAATATAAATTGTATTGAAGCAAATCCTACTGGATCATTCAAAAGTTTATAAAAGATGTGTTTTTTACAGCCGTTCTGAGAATTATTCGGACAGTCAGTTAGCAATTTATGTTGGAACTTTGCAAAACACTTGGGTCTTTTCCAATCTAGAATTGATGGCGCCGTTGTATTGACACGCCCAGAATTGGAATCATTCCATTATCTTGCAAGATGCGGGTAAAACGCTGATTTCAAAACGACACGCGTTGCTTACCATATATTAACAGGTTATATGTTGTATATGCATTCAAAGTGTTATTTTAAATTGTTATAACCATCTGAGTCCACCTGACATAGCGTATTTACAAAACAACTCCCGAGTGTTGAGTAACCCCAGTATTAATGAACTCGTCGTTGGCGGGAAGGCTCAAAGTAAAGTTTCTTAGCGGGACGCGATGCAGTTTCGCGACAGTTTTGGGCCAAACTAAAAGTTGTTTTTACATTACTGGTACATTATGTATCAAATCCAGATTTTATACCGAGGTGGGAGAGTACGTCGGGGATACACGGACGGAAAACTCGATTATAACAGTTTGATGGATTTTGTCAAATCAAAAGTGCCTTCCTTGATCGAATCACTTTTTCAACAGCAGTTTGAAAATGACGGGGTATAACGACCGTTATTATGTCTAGTCCATTTTTGTAACAGGTACAACTGACTAAAATGAGCGAGGGGTTGACATTTTTCGACAGATTTAAGCAACATCCAACTTGTGATTTTCAAAATTACTGAAAATAATTACAATATAATTATAAAAAATAAAGGATGGTTGCTATAAACGCACGCTAGATAATACTTACAATTCAATAAACCGACAACCCCTATGGAATAGTAATCCCAAACCACGTGCCCGTCACTCAAATGGCGCCGACAAGTCTAGATTGGGCAAAGACCAAAGTGTTTTGCAAAGTTGCAAGTCATTTTGCTAACTGACTGTCCGAATAATTCTCAGAACGGCTGTAAATGCGTGAACAGTCTACACTGTGTAAAGCTGCAGAAGTACTCCCCCAAAAGTTCGCCTTCAAGTTTGATGAACCTCTTCGTAATACCTCTAAAATATTTTTATAACATGTATATGCATAATTTGGTGTGAGTCTTGTCCATCAATGTAACACGTGACGTGAATTATGTACATCAATGTTACACGTACATTTATACATCACGTGACGTGAATTATGTCCAATCGTTACACGTACATTTATACATCACGTGACGTGAATTATGTCCAATCGTTACACGTACATTTATACATCACGTGACGTGAAGTATGTCCAATCGTTACACGTACATTTATACATCACGTGATGAAAGTTTTGTCCGATGTTACAGGTACATTAATATATCACGTGATATGAGTTTTGTTCATCAAGGTACGTGTACATAGTGTGAAATTTGCGAACACGATAACGTTATCACAAATACATAAGTGGTGTTGTTCTGTCGTGAAGTTCGTCGTCTCTGAGAACGGATAGTTGGTTGTCAGTTGCTTCGCGTATTTCCTCCAGTGTGGCACCTCGTGAGTTGATTGAAAATGGCCATGTCTGCAAAAAAGCAAATGGAAGAATTGATTAGTAACGGCGTTCTGTTAAAATTGTGGGTCGCTGTGTAGGTCTTTGCCGTGTGTGGGCGTCCTATCCTCGTAAATACAAATATCAGTAGCTTTCAGCTTACCACAATGCGATAATGAATATTTATTATGTTAACAAATATATTATGCATGTTCAAAACGTTTTGACGAAACTTGATACACCAATATATCGTAAGAGTTATCATTATGTAACGACATGATATTTTGATTTGACAAATTCTTATCGATTTTTATAACATAACATAACATAACATATATAATGATAGGTATTCTTGATAAGCACATGTAAATGAGACTGCAAGATCTGATTTCTTTTCGACAATATAATAAACCATCTGTAATTCACGCCCTCTAGTGGTGAGGTAGTTATACGACACCAGAGTTACATGTGTAAGCAAAGTTGTACAAAGAGACAACTGTGTTTGGATCTGGAGTCGTTCATCTAAAATATGGTAAATCTCTCAAAAACATTATATTATCTGGACTGCATAAACAATATCAAGGCTGTGAACGGTCTTTCTTACGCTCAATTACGTCATATAAGCACTGTAGTACTGATATTCACAACATATTTATTCCTTATATGGAAGTTGCGCAAATCATGCTTGCTAATTATGTATTTTTTTTCTATTCAACCGATACATTAGCACATGGCTCTTCTGCATGGGAATCACCCTACACTAGCACAGACTGTACCTCACTGAAACTATCTCTCAACACCCACGGCACGAACGGCCCTGAAAACTTTCTAAAATGCAGATTTGTTTTTGCACCGCTATGAATCTTCTGTTTTTGTTTGTTTAAGTACTATGCCCCTACGCCATGCAAACGTATTTTTCACTTTTATTAGAGTCAGTGGTGTTTGTCAATACATGCTAATTGTGATGGAATTTTCTTATTTACTTATTCTAACTATTGTATGTTATTTTAATTAAATCATGCTATATTATTGAATAAAAACAAATAAACAATTTAAAATTGTGATCAATTCAATCCTCCATACGGACTTTAGCACACTCGTGCATCGATAGACGAACACCGACACCAACTACATTTCTTATAGCCGTATGTGAGAGCAGTGGTGGCGGCACAGGGAGGTGGTAGAGGGGCGGTCGCCCCCTCGAAAAAAATGTTGAGGGAGCGTCGCCCCTCCAGAATCAAACTGAAACCATTTGTGTCAGCAACATTTTCCTTCAAAATGGAGGAAATAGCGTTTCAGAGAGTCTAGATTTCAAACGGTCTTTTTTAAAGAGGAGCATGCCTCCTAACCCCCTAGTAAAGTTGCGCGCGAGGTTGTTGAGCAGATCTCGCCCCTCCATGTAAAATTTCGTGCCACCGCCTCTGAAGAATTATTAATTGTGACATATGGGTACAGTTTTATTTCCCCGATGGCAAGTTCAATATTCTTAGTAAACATATTCTTTCAATTTATTCACCGAATCCCATGTTACAATATCGAATCTGCATGTTATAGTTATCCTAAGAATTGCAGGTCTTACCAGGTTTAATGGCTGGATATCATGTGGGTCGTCGTCGTGTGCCAGTAATTGTGCTAAATGAGATATGTAGCTAGCAGCTAGTCTCAAAGTGTCTAATTTAGATAATTTTGTATCAGCTGGTACCCACGGTAACGTAGTTTTGAGTCTGGAGAACGCCTTACTTAGTACCCTCATTCGACACCGTTCCCTGGCATTTGCGGCGTTTCTCTGTGTTTGTTGGCCTTTCTGCTTGGACGCGTTTGCTGTTCGGCCTCTCTTTTTCCTCGCCGTCATCACATCCCGTATGTCGGTACATTCTTTTCTCGCTTCTCCATTTTTCTTATTGCTGTCCTGTTTCGTCATGGTTGCCCTACAACAAACAATCAAACCGTATGATTAAGTTGTGTTGTTCTACTATTACCTCACCACCAGTCAGAGGGAATCCTATTAGCCCACCATACGCTTATGTACAATCACGGTGCGAAACAATAGATTAAATATTTAGTGTTCAATGAGTTAATTATAATAATATATTTAATACTTTACGAATAAAATAGAACAACAATGCAGACAATACAATATTATTATAATGAAATTCTGACATCACAAACATTGCATCTAATTCATTGTGATACTTTCTCTCAAACGTATCTAATTTAGCAGCTTAGCGTCTATACCCGGAGACTGCACGGAGACATGGAAATGATGCATCTCGTCGCTATACGCCGCAGCGAATGTCGTACCTACAGAACCCTGGCTTTAACGTACACAACCTGGTGCGCATAGTGTGTACAGCGTATAGCCCAATGCAGTGTATGGATGCCATAATGATAAAATCACAGCAGAGTTATTCAAGCATAAAGTTCACAGAGTGTATCTATTGGTGTATCTATATATTGTTTTTGTATTCGAATGCTTGCTCAGATTATTCAGTTTCGACAATACCGTCACTATCTAAACTGGCAACACTGGTACGCAGTAGATAATAACGGGTAGTCGTTGTCCCAAGTAACTATCATATATTCAACATACTAGTAGCTAGACGTTTCTAGCTATGGCGGATACAGGGTATATCGTAAATGGCTACGCTTGTCGCTGTCAATCACATGGCCATAACACCGCTGTCCCTGTCAGTTACATTTTAAACTATTTTATTAATAGAGATACGATCTGCTCTGTAGCATTTGATTTCCTCTGCCGACCACCCACCTAAATCTCGGCGATCGGGGAGTCTCTGTGTGGCCTATAAAGTTGGCCCGGTCTGGTTCGAGACCGTAACCGCAGCACCGTGGGTACCGTGACAAGCATTGACGATTAACCATCACAAAACAATTATGGATGGATGTAAATATATCCCAATAACGGATGAAATTATTGGTATACCTATATTTTATTGTTATGCTCCAATGCTCGCTCAGGTTATTCAGTTTATTTGTCCATATATCAACCCGTTCTTTCATTCGTTCATTATATTTTCATACCGTTTTAGATGTTTGATTTGAACCTTATGAACCACTATTATTATAAATGAAAATATTCTCATTGCATATTAATTTTGTTAATCAATTATTGTTATCTATTGTATATGTCACTTCTAAAGCTGGCAATTTAGTAGATACTTGTGTTTATTTCATTGTATAACCACCAAATTTAATTGCGTTGTTATCGTGTAGGTACCCCGAATGTAACGAATATACCATGTAGCGATATAGCGTGTAAGGAAATTGTGATACGACACATATTACTCTGTGTCTGTGAGTGTATAATATGGATTGATAATTGTCAGTATATGTAGTAGCCCAGTTCGTTACACACGTAGTTGTCGTTTGAAGTGAACAGAACAGAGTAACCTCCAAGAATTCAAAACATACCAATATTGGATATTTGTCAAATACTAAATACTGTCTAAGTAAGAGATAAATTGTCTGTGTCATATGAATGATATATTTGTAGATTAATTGTGTACTGTGGGCTTGTAAAAATATTTCAGTGAGGTGTTCTGAAACCAGAAAACCTGTACTTGGTAACGAGAGGTCGTATTGCATATACGTAAAAGCAGTGTATGTAATAACCAGTGGAAATTGTGCAAGATAAAATTATGTCAGGGCGAATAAAATAATGCAAACGTAAAATAGATGTGAAAAATTAAAATGGAGGATTTGATAATTAGTGTAAAGGACAATTAACTGTAATGAGTACATTTTCAATCTATGAATAAGTGACACAATCTAATGAGAAAGACAATTCCGGTCAAGAATATCTATTGATGATATAATATGTGTTAAGCTAAGCGTAATACAAATACAATTGATCATGATGATGAGCACTACTACATAATGAACTGCTCTTGTTATAGAGAAGCTACGAAGGCACTCCTCGGTAAAATGTATTATGACAATCCAACTTTTCCCTTCACTTCATAGTGATGCCAAATTTGCATACATTATGAACAAAGAATGGACATCACCTTGGTCAAGTTGAATTATGTAACAAAAGAAGGTTTTGTCGTTTATATTACATTATGAAAATCTACTATTATTTTTGTACAGCCTATGATATTTATTTATTTTATTCATATTTATTTATTTTATGTGTTTTTTTCTTTTGCATTATTTTTTTTATTTTAAAGTTAGAATACTAATTGACTACATTCAAATCAAATAATTATCTTTATTTATTACATCTCACTATCGCTGCGATGAATTCTACACATGCATAGATACAACCGTTAAAACTTTTGTTTTCAAAATACGTCTATATACTCCAAGAAATATTCAGACATATAATTAACAACCAGAATGCGTTTAAATACATCAACAATTGTTCAGACATAGAATTAACCATCGATAAAAACACATAAATATCATGTCGGTGAGGCTTCAAACATCAGAATACGTTTAAATACGTTAACGAATATAGAAATAGCCATCGGAAAGAACGTTTAAATAAGTCAACAAAGTTTTCAACATAGAATTGGACATCAGAATACGTCAGCAAATATTCAGTCATAGAAATAGCCATAGAAAAAACGTATTAATACTTCAACAAGGTTTCCAACATAGAATTGGACATAAGAATACGTCTAAATACGCAAACGAATATTCAGATATAGAAATACGCATAGAACAAAACTTTAAATAAGTCAACAAAGTTTTCAACATAGAATTGGACATCAGAATACGTCAGCGAATATTCAAACATAGAAATAGCCATAGAAAAAACGTATTAATACGTCAACAAAGTTTCAAACATAGAATTGTACATCAGAATACGCCTAAATATGCCAACGGATATTTAGAAATAAAAATAGCCAGCGAAAAACACATTTAAATACGTCAACAAAGTTTCAAACATAGAATTGGACATAAGAATATGTCAGCAAATATTCAGTCATAGAAATATCCATTGAAAAAAAACGTATTAATACTTCAATGAGGTTTCCAACATAGAATTGGACATCAGAATACGTCTAAATACGCAAACGAATATTCAGATATAGAAATACCCATCGAAAAAACTTTTAAATAAGTCAACAAAGTTTTCAACATAGAATTGGACATCAGAATACGTCAGCAAATATTCAGTCATAGAAATAGCCATAGAAAAAAAACGTATTAATACTTCAACGAGGTTTCCAACATAGAATTGGACATAAGAATACGTCTAAATACGCAAACGAATATTCAGATATAGAAATACGCATAGAACAAAACTTTTAATAAGACAACAAAGTTTTCAACATAGAATTGGACATCAGAATACGTCAGCGAATATTCAAACATAGAAATAGCCATAGAAAAAACGTATTAATACGTCAACAAAGTTTCAAACATAGAATTGGACATCAGAATACGCCTAAATATGCCAACGGATATTTAGAAATAAAAATAGCCTGCGAAAAACACGTTTAAATACGTCAACAAAGTTTCAAACATAGAATTGAACATCAGAATACGCCTAGATATGCCAACGGATATTCAGAAATAGAAATAGCCAGCGAAAAACACGTTTAAATACGTCGACAAAGTTTCAAACATAGAATTGGACATCAGAATAGTCTAAATATGCCAACGAATATTCAGACATAGAGATAGCCATCGAAAAAAGTATAAATACGACAACGAGGTTTTCAACATAGAAATGGTCATCATCCTGAGAGTATGTCTAAGTACGTCAGCGAGGATTCAAACATCAGATTACGTATTATTACGTGAAACTGCATTGATTTTAATAGTACTGAACTGTAGTCTCAATTTAAATTATTTTATTAAAATAGTTCAATACAAAAAACAACATTCTAATATTTGTACGGCATTTGGGAACACAACAAAAGTTGAGGTGAGCGGAGTTTCAGTTAAACACATATTATATTCATTGGGCATTTATGGTAGAAACAAAGATTTGTACATCAACGTTCGAAGAGTTGTGAAGTTTTCACTATGAGATACTGCTGACGTGCGTGGAGTCCAATATTTGAGTTATTGAGCGGCAAATAGGGAAATAGGAATATAAAAGTGCTGATATTAAGCACAGTTTTATGAGTACGATCATTTAACAAATATAAGAAATCCCATCTTTTTTTTAATTTTAAAGCCTGTGAATAGCATTATCAACATGCGTGTTAGCATTAATAGTATACCGTACAATGACATAAAAGTATGCATCAACAAGCCAGAAAGATCCCAAATTGACAAGTTGGCTCAAATGTTCTTGTATTCATTTTATTATGCCGTGAATTCTTATAAGATGATTGCAATGGTGTTCTGTTAGTTGCAATAAATGGCGCGTCCATGGCTATGACGGTAATGATCCTACACATTTGTTTCAATATTTACCACGATGGAATAATTTTGTCACGATTCATTTCCAACTCCAGCGCATAATCTGTGATTCATGTGTTCACACTCAGTCTGGATACTAGAATTTTCAAGGGAAATTTCAGACAGAAACCCCTTCTCCTAATAATGTATAGCGACGATGAACTACCCGAAAAATCATGTGAGCCATGACGACAAATAAATAGACATTAAATAAACAAATAGTGATTTTTTTTAATTAAATTACATTAATAAATAAACATGAAATGATCCTTGTTGTTTCTCTTACTGTGTTACTAAAACATACACCAAGCTATGAACCCAGACATAGTGACGTCGTATTATGATATAGAACACAAAATGTTCCTTGCTCAGTGGACATAAAATACCCAAACCCAAACTTCAATCTACACATAGCGCATAGCAGTTACCGTGGCACACTAGTTTGCCGTTACATCTACGTTTGCTTAAACATTCTCAGTGAGTTACTGTGCAGTTACACCCCGGAAGCAGTTACCGCGAGGATTTAGCTTTACCTCCATACAC